CATCATTTCTTTTTTTGTTTGCAGCGTTTCTTTTCTGTTTCCATGATTTCTTTTTTGTTTGCAGCGTTTCTTTTTTGTTTGCAGCATTTCTTTTTCTTTGCAGTGTGTCCCTTGTGGGCCATCGTATGAAAAAGGCCTAACTACCCATTTGTTGGCTACCTTTAAAAATGTGTTAGAGGGCGCTATTCACCGAAAACATGAGATCGGGAATATAGAATCGTAATTTTAATAATGGCGGAAGCAGTTATCGGAGCTCCACACTTTTTTTGTCACAATTGTAAACAAGAAATAAATTCTCTGAAACAGGTACACATTTTTTAGGTTTCTATGTTTTAAAAATTGACTTTAATTGACCAATTTTATGAAAAATAAGCAGTAAACATGATGTAGGCTAGGCCGCTAGCTAGGCTTAGCCTAGGGAAATAACAACTCCCTGCTTAGCCTAGGCTAGGCTAGACAATCAATGATGTTCTTTGGAAATGCTAGCTAGCGCTTAGGCCTCCCTCTAGGGCCTGCAACAATACATACAAACGATGCCAGTAAACAGTGCTGTGTAAAGTGGAACATTAGTATTGTCTTTTCTGACTAAGGGATAGGGTTAGTAGCGTATTTCCAGCAGTAAACCTATTATACAACAATCAGAATACCGAATACTAATACTAATAATAATAATAGCTTAGTTTAGGCCTAACCATGATTTACTTATTTAATATTAGCCTATTTAACCCAGTTCTTTTTACTGGAAAACCCCTTTTTTATTTTTGTCATATAGGCCTAGGCCTAATCATACTGTGCCATAAAACTGGTTGCAAATACATAGGAAATTGAGAAAGATGTCTATTTATTTAAATCACATTTTTTTTAATGGTTTTTGAGTCAAAACAGCAAAAACTAAGCATGTTGACAATATACACCATAATGGTAAAAATATATCCACAAAAATGCTCCTAAGCTAGTATTAACGCCAAGTAAGAAATGCCAAGGATATAATGGGATAAGGATACTCTTTATACAGCAAAAGAGGCCCAATATAATAATTTAAAAAATAATAAAAATTAAATGGATATTATTATGGATTAATCAAGACTGAAGTTGTTATTAGGGGTCCAATCAGCACCACCAATCAACACCTCAGATTTACCAGGGAGTTGGATTTACGTAAGGTTGTTAGAACAATATCCATGTCCTAATTGGAATAACATCAAATATAGAAGATCACTTATAATTAAATGTAATAATAACTTATTGTCTTTTCCACCATGAACATTGTGATGATATATACTGTACGAAGCTGGCTTCTAGCTGTTCTCAGTTTGTTTAAAAATCAACAATTTCCAGATCGATGTTTAAATTTTGTAGCCTATGGTATGAACAATTAGGATTATGATTCCCTAACTTCCCTAAAGTTTGGTATTTCTTAAATTAATTTAATCAACCAAGTTGAGGAACCAAGGAGGAGTTATGTTGTTATTTTTAAAGAGGTGATAAATAAGAATTTATAGACATGGTCCGGAAGTGGAACTTTTATACAAATTCTTTTACTGGTAAAAGTGTCTTATAAGTGAATTAATATTTCAATTTTTTTTTTTCAAAAAATGGACAGTGATTGAGATACTGTTAATAATTACGATGAAGTGAGATTTCACAAAATTGTTGAGGGGCCTGGGGTAAAAGTTTGTAATTATGTCAAAAAGCATACAGCCCACTCCAGACTTGGTGGCTACTTACATGAATAAACTTCTTTAATAAAAAAAAATACATAAAACAAACAAAACAGCCTGTTCTGTGTTGGTAGGCCTGTTGCTTTTCTGATTGCTTTTGAGCATTGCTGTTTTTGGTTGTTAAATTACCATTTTGGCTTAATACCAATTTCGTTTATTGCCATTTTGACCTGCTTCTACAGAACTACATTAAAAAGGAATACATTTATGCTATGTTCTCACACGGCTGCTAACGGTTAGCAGGATCCGGATCCTGCTAACTGTTAGCTGCTGTGTGTCCATACGAGAAAATCCTGATCCGGATACCAAAAATATGATGATCGAATCACTGGCCAATAAGAAACTGGAAATTGTAAACACGTACGTGTGATTGGTCGATGATAAAAACGCGCTCAACTTGCTAACCGATAGCGCTTGCTAACCGTTAGCGGTATCTGAATACTGCTAATGGTTAGCACTAACTGATCGGGCGTTCTCACACAGGTGCTAACGGTTAGCGCTAACAGTTAGCTCCCGATCCGGATACTAGGGCTCTTGTGAGAACCAGGCTGATGAGTCTCAAAAATGGTTCTGACAGCAGATATGGAGATACAAATGATTTATTTATTTTCATTCAAACATCAAAGATTTTTGGTATTTTTCATGCTGAAATTCAAGCAATGTTATTGAGACAAAGTTAATCAGATATAGTCTGACAGACACTTAAAAGGCTATATTGTATGCCCGATCTTTGTTTTTTTATTAATACATAAATGTGTAATGAATCGGCATTGATATGTTGCATAGTGCTTAAACTGACTGATTTTTATAATTTTAATTTTTTTTATATTACAAATTCAGCAAGCATTGAATGACACAAGGTGTTGTCTCGGGTTTTATATGACATATTGGTGGCGATGTATAGGCACAATGACATATCACACAATGGGCATGTCACAGTCATTTGTCACGGAAGCTTGAAATTAGTGTGGAAATAACTTTACTGGGGTAAAATACAGTAAATTTGTGATGGTTTACAGTAAATCTGAATGTGAATTTTGTTCACATGTAAAAAAATAAAACAACCATTTACAGGATTTACACTCAGAACAGAATTGGAAGACAAATGTCTTACTTTACAGCTCCTTTCCATGTTGAATTTGGGAAGGAAAATTAACTTTTTAGTTTTATTAATTCACAGTAAATTAATTATGTGTTGAATGTTTTTCTGATGTTTTAGGATTATACATGCCCAAGGTGTAGCCAAGGCTTTGTTGAAGAATTAGAAAGTGGAACAACACAAGAACAGAATGCAAGGCAAGTTCCTAGTTTTATTATTGTTTATGATGATGATAGTGATGATTATGATAATGATAGAGATGTTGGTAGTGAGGTGAATGTTGTGGTGGTGATTAGATGATGTTGACAATGATAATTCTGATGATGATAAGCTTATGAGCAAGATAATGATTTTATCAGCCATTTGATTATTTTTTCAGATCAACGAATGAAGGTCGCAGAGAATTACTAGAAAACAGATCCGAGGATTCAGGAGTTGCATTTCATCATGTAAACAATTTCATAAATTTATTCTTTTAATAAGAAGACCCATGAAATATTAAAGCTAATATTTAGTCTATACTGAAATATTACACTTAACGTATATATTCCCTCGGGAACTAGTCCTTCGTAAAATATATTCTGGCTTTGACTAATATAACAACAGAAACAATAAGACAACCATTTAAGATTTAACAATCGTAATAAATAATAAGTACTGTAGTGTATGTAGTTTATTTCAAATCGCTTTTATTCAATAAAATTTCAGATACATATAAATTGAATAAAAGGAAGAATAAATAAATGAATAAAACTCTCTAGGTTACATCCTTAAAATAAGATGACAAGGGAGTAAAAACACATAAAAAAAAAAAACAGGACAACAAGAAAAACAAGAGTTTCGAGAGCATTGCACAATTCATGACGGCCAAATGAAGTGAAAGACTAGGAGAAAATTATGAATTACTAAGTTGTAAGAAAGGGAGGATTGGTCCACGAGGGTTCATCTTTTACATGGAATATGGAAAAGGAGGATATTATTGCTAATTTGGAAAGGTTATCAAGAAACACTTTGAATGGTACTGGCTTGCCACAAAGGGCGTGAACAGATTTAAAACGATGAAGATTTGTAGAGGAAATTAACCCCTGGGAACCAACCTCAAAAACGATCAATTCGACATCATAGCCAGCGTCTGAGAGGTCCGTAACTAGAGGGGAATACTTGTTCAACTTTCTTTTATGAGCAGCATCAATTGAAGTATCAAATGGAATAGTGAGTTCCGTGATGGTAAGTTTTCTTAAGTCTGGCCAATAAAGGCAGATATCGGGAATGAGATTTGTTGGGATTCATTCAGTTGGGATTGTATAGCAGTGAAGATTATCAGAGGCGCTGGCTACGAGGTCGCAAAGAATAACAGGAGGAGATTTAACAGTTTTGAATCCATCTTTTAAATTCTTGTAAATATAATTAAGAACATTGTTATGTCGCCATGTGAAGCGCCCCTGGTCCAGGGAACGCGAGCAAAAATTATAGAATATGGCAGAGAGTCTCTCTGTTATTGCAGCCCATACACTTTTCTGAAATATTTTTTCCCCATCTGTGCAAGTTAACCCTATTATTTAGCGTATCCCCCAGCGTATTAGTAAGGAATTTCATAACTCCTCTGGGCAGGTTGTATATGAAGTTATGACAACTTTCTTCAAGAGAAAGCAAGTCATAAAATCTTCCCTGAACCAGAAGCTCCTTCACATGGCGGTTCCAATATTCTTGGATATCAGATTTAAGTTTGTTCTTAACAATTGTTTTAGCACGGGGGAGAGAAGGACTGGGCTCTGAGTTTTTTGCCTCAAAGAAGAGATTTTCGGACCTACTGGTTAGCGAAATTTTATTCTTCCAGTTACATTCCCTCTTGAGTCTACAGTCAATAGAATGATTAACCTGGGGACCCCCTTAAATCGAGAAGACACATGGGCAAGTGTATGACTCTCGGTATATAAGTCGGAAATTCTGCGAATGTCAAGCCCTAACGGCATATGTATAAACGATAATGTACCGGGTTTAGGTAAACCAAACCATTTTTTTACATACTTGCTACTGAGGGAATCAAGTTTATCAAGCTGAGTTTTACAAAAATCGTTAACAGTCAGATGAAATCTTAAGCTAGGTAACAGGTAATTGGAATAAATTTTGACTTTGAATTCAGACCTAACAAGAGAACTATCGATTATTTTAAGATTATTCTCAATTATCTCTTTAAGATATTGGAAGACATTATTCTCGGTATTATGGAATGATATAATGGAGCCCAAAAATTTATGATGTTCGTCTTGAACTGATGCAATAGTGCTATCAGCTATAGTGTACGGCACATTTGAAGCTTTCCCACGGACAATAGAGAGAGATTTGCATTTGGACGGTTTTAGTTTAAGTCCCATTGACGAAGTAAAGGTGGATATCTTATTAATTAATCTTTGGTGTGTTTTCTTATTACCAGTTATTAAGCAGAAGTCATCTGCAAATGGAGTTGTGATGTGTTTCATTCCATCCATATTGTAGCCGTGGGAAAGCTCCAAACCCAATGCCTGGATAATGTGGTCGAAAATCAAAATAAAGATAAGGGGAGATAAGGGATCGCCCTGAAAAATACATTTACGAAACTTAAATTCATCCGATTGCCAATCCTTTTACCCAGAGATATTGGCATATAAATTATTAATGTAAATTTTAAAACAAGGATCAACATTAGATCTATCAAGTATGAGACTAATTAAGTTATGAGGCACCGAACCAAAGGCGTCCTCCAAGTCAAAAAATTGAATTGGCTTTAGCATGTCTGATGAGCTCATGAACAACGGTGTTATGCTCAATACATCCGTTGATACCTCTGAGAAAAGCTTTTTGCAATTCCATATTGACGAGTTTGTTCTGCTTCATGAAGTCTTCCAGACGGTTAGCTAGGATAATATGGAATATTTTACCAGTGCATGATGATAATGCGATAGGCCTAAAATTCGATGGGGAGTCAGTTGCACCTTTTTTATGGATCAGTGTAACTCTGCTATCTGTCCAAGTTGGCACTGGTTGTCCAGTTTCCAGAATTTTCTTATATAGCGTGGCTAGAAAGTGGTGAGTACAAGAAAGTTTTTTCAGTAAGCCGTAGCAGATACCGTCAGGGCCAGGAGCTGAATTTTTACTTTTGCGTTTTAAAACGTTGCGAATGTCTTTTGGGCGGATACTGCTCTCTTATATGTAACTTCCTCCGGTGTACGAGGGTCCGGTATCCAAGACAGTAGAGAAGCATCTATGGTTTTTGGAATTCCATATTTAGTTGAGTAAAAATTGTTTGCAGTTTCTTTAGAAAATGAAGGGCCTAAGTGATCAGTGTAGAGCGAATTGGTGAGAAGATTTTGCTAAATCTCCAAAAATTAGCACGGTAAAGTTTTTCCTCATATTGGGTTGATCTCCTATTCTCATTATTGGAATATATATATATATAGACTACAAAGGATGTACTCTAATTGTGGTCAGTATATACCATGTTTGTTTGGGGTGGGGATAATTTTGGCAAATGGTGCAATACTGCAATGCAGTATTTCAACCACCTAACTACATCTTGATCTTTATTTCTAGTTATGGAATGAACTTCAGCCTGGAGATTCAAGAACTAGACGATCAGAACCAGCAAGTGCTGCTCCACATAGACGAATGCCTTTCCCAGTCAGAGTAAGACAAATAGGAAGAGATGCTGATCCAGCACAGGATATGATTATGTGAGTTGGCATGGAAAATTAAATTAATGTAGAAAATATTTTTTTCTTATATTTTGTCCTATTTCAGATTCAGTAATAGAAATTTAAAATTTTGTTTGGTTCCTAGGACCCATCACAGCCACAGTGTAGTGCTGTTACTAACATGTAATGAATGCATTGGTTCATTATCCCTAACAATTGAAAAATGAGGGATGGTGATTAGATGATAATACATGGTAAAAATATATAGTAGGAGTTGTAAGAAAGAATGAATCTATGCATGTGTCAAGAAGTTTTTAGAGTAGGATATTTAACTCAATGAAGAGTTAGAGGATTTTGGTTTTGGCTCTTACTTGCTAAAAAAAAGGAGAATAACTCAATATACAAGGTAATTATATATTGATCAATTTTTAATAAATAATTCATCCATTTTTATAAATTGATTTTATGATCAGTTATAAAATTGCTGCAGTGCTATCTAAATTGTTAAAAACTGTGATTGATTGATTGATAGAATGATCATCTTTTACAGGATTTTGCAGCACTTATTAGGTATGGGTGGAGTTGGAAGTCATCCTTTTCCTATGTAAGTACCAGTACTAGATTAAAGATGTTTATTATATAAATTTCAGCACTCTGTAACCAGTGAGGCAAAAAGCCAAAAATCTGAGGCCCAAAATTGTCGAAAAGGCTTGGGCTAGTGTAGATAGAGCAGAGCTGGTACAAGTGAGAGTGTCACAGCAGTAATTTGAGAGTCTAACATTTGTTTGTATCTTATGTTTTTTTGGTTTTTTTTCACCTATACTGTAGGAGTAATAGTGGGTGTATGATAGGTGTGTATGATGCTACACTGATTACATCTGCAATATCCAGAGGCCTTGAAATTATGCCCTATCTATGTTGTAAGACATTATTTTTATCATTACTGTTACTTGGATAACATTTGCTATTTTTTGTATTACAGACAGTTAATGAATCTACATGGGAGACCGGGGGATTATGCATGGGGTGAGCGTGGCTTAGATACAATAATAACACAAGTAAGTACTACTATAATTATCCTGAATATATTCGTACCGATGTTCTAAATCGAGAGTTTATAGCTTCAGTCAGTCTTGAGAGATATGCCAGTTGTAGCTCATGTCAATATTTATTTATAGGTGTAATTTTGCCCTACCTGACGTGGAAATGTACCGAATACTCAGTACAGTTGAAAACAACTGCGAAAAAAATCGCAAGTTGTTCTCGGGTGGGACTCGAACCCATGATCTCCAGATCACTAGCCTGGCATCATACCTCTAGACCACCGAGCTTGCAATATCTAGAGGCCTTGAACCATCATTTCCACGTCAGGTAGGGCAAAATTACACCTATACATGTTTCTCAGGGGCGGATTTAGGGGGGGCGGCCCGGCCCCCCCCTTTTGGGAGGTGAAAAAAAAAGAAAAAAAAGAGAGAAAAAGAAAAAAATAATAGCCCAGAATGCCTCAAATGTTATGTTTGGTCGTCTAGAACACAGAAATTTCGCGGGAGCATGCCCCGGACCCCCTACGACAGTGTTGTCTCCATTGGCCCAACTTTCGGCCCCCCCTTCCGGCCCCCCCCCTTGGA